TTCACCATTGGAAAGAGGCTGATTCAGTGCATCGATTCATGTGAAAGAGTGTGGGTGTGGGCAGGAGCCGCGCGAGCGGCGGGGTGTGGGGGTGTATACTCCCCTCCCCCCAATAATTGGAAATTTTTGTTTTTATTCCAGTGACTGGAGCAGATTTGGAATGAATTTTGTGTTTTTTTAAGAAATTTTGCTCTGAATACCCTTTTACACCCCCAAAAATTTGTTACACCCTTTCAAAACCCGCTACAGTCGCCCAATCTTAGACCCTTCGCGCGACCCCTGGGTGTGAATGAAGAGAACACCCACACCGAAGAAGACCAATTAGGAAAACACATTTTTACGCGTATTTTTCTGAACGGGTTTTATTGTATTCGACAGTAATTCGTTATTTCTTGTTTTTTTCTCAAGCAATACAACACGTTTAACTGAATTCGTCTCTCCAAATTAGTTTAGCTACAGAATCTTTAGTTGATTCATTTGACCTGCGAGTTTTCTTTGCAGCAATAAAGTTCTTGTTTTTTCGTTTGGACACGAATAACTGACGAAAGTTGTGGAAGATTATATGATCATAAAAATAATAAAGAATAAGTCTAAAATATTATATATTAGCGTTTAATATTATTAAAAGAGAAAAACTAGCTCAACGATAATGCAACGCAAAAGTAACTACACATATGAAGAACTTCGTAAACAAAAAAAATTGTTTTGACGAATAAGAACGACTGAAGTGTAACTAACTGTTTTTTTTCTCTGATACATCAATTTTCTATTTATCAAGGGCTGAATATACATATTCCGCATGATCTGATATTCTCAATCAATCACATGCACAGCAACTTGTTTTTTTGATGAGTCAAAGGAGAGTTGTACAACATATTCAAAATAACGTTTTTCAGTTAGACAAGCGGGAAAAAATATAAGTTCATTATGTAGACATTGAACTGAAAAAAATATCTTTATGAGTTTTATTAGTCTGACCTCTGTTGATAGTGTGTTTTAAATTTTCATCAGTTGTCATCTCTTTAGCGTATAGAATATCTTGGTTCTAAATAATTTTGATTATTATCACATCGTCATACTGAGAAAACATTTTGAAGTCCGAAAACAGTAATTTTTAAATGATCCAACCGTTTATGAACACGTTGAAATGTATTTACGTTTTTTCTCTTCAGTTTAATTTCTTTACCCTTCTAATATTTTAGATAACTATCTCGTTCCTTCCCATGACTGACACAATCAGTCGTATATTCTTTAGATGATAATATCACTTTTCTCTTTCCATCATATCAGTCACCGATTCTTTCTTTGTAACTTTTTTATTCTAGTTGATAGATTGATATTCTCATGGGAGTGGCTCGATATAAGTCAGTCTTTAAATTTTAATGCTTTGATTGGCGTATGTTGCTTTGACATAAGCAAGACAGATACATACAAAGTGATCCAACGTGAGCGTGTGTGTGGATGTGGATTTTCGATTGTCTCATAGACACACCCACGCACTCAACCCCCACATCCACACCCACACTCCAAATAACAATATATGAAAAATCCTGAGGAGTAATATATTCATTAGCTTGAACTAGGGAAAGACAGATTACACGAACTAATATAATTTAATTACCCCCTTCCTCTTAACTTAGTATATCAGCTTACATATTTAATAGAGATGAACCAATCACATTTTTCATATTAGATCTAGATTCTATAAACGAAAAACTTAACTCAACTCAACTCAATAGCGTAAAAGAGGAATTTATATCAATACACACTACTTATATAGGTGGCATGTAGCTCGAGTGAGAAAGTTAAAATATCACACGTGTGAAAACGAATGCAGCATTTTACGATATATAATGAGTTAGTTACAGTTAAAACGACAATCACGCATGAAAAAGCATGAAAAATCTAACGCGTTTACACGAGTTTTCGGAATATAACGAAAGTTCATGAAATTTCGTTCATTTGTCTTTTAACACATTTTTTTGGGTTAATTTTAAGAATCATTTCGTTAAATACCTTTTTATTTTTACATGGGCGAGTTTCTATGAAAATTCTTGTTTCTTTTATGATGTTGAGAACGTTCTTTATTTTCAGTCATACTTTGATTGTTTTTTTGCAATTGACTAACTGTTGCTTTTTTCTTATTGCATTGAAAGGAAGAGAAGAAATGACGAGATTTTTTCCAACTTCACACTCCACTGTTATGTATATTTGTACTGTTATTTTTATTTCACTTTCTTTTTTAGAAAAAAAAAGCTCAGATAATATGGATTATGACTTTTTTGTTAATCAAATACTACGTTTTTGTTGTTTTTTAGATGTAAAAGATACTTTTCTTCCATTTATTCATTTGTAATTAAGACAGACTAAGTGTTGCATTAGATTATATCGAATACATTGTGTATTTTATGATTTTTTCACAATGGCAACATCATCTATTAAAGATAATTACATTGATTATGAGATTACGGATGATATTGAAAAAAGATTTTTTAAAAATTCACAATTTCGCGTATGTTTACAAGAGAATTTATTCAATTTGTATTCAGTACAAGTTGACATTCGATTACAGAGTGTATCAAAAAAGAATCGATGGGATAGTGAAAAAATGGTGTACAGGTTTCGGTTAGTTGGTAACTATGAAAAGACATCCGATTTGCAACAAAAATTTTGCGATTTGACGAAAAATTCTCTTCAAAAAATTCAATCAACAGTATACCAACATAGCGATACAGGTAAATAAGGTGTGGGTGTGAGTAAAGAGAGGAATTAAACCTATACACACCCTAAGAGGAAAAACCAAAATGCCGTACTTCAGCGTACTTTCAGGCTATGTCCTAACTATGCATCAGATCTCTTTAACTATTTCAAGTCTATTATTCACCTATGTTATGGTATATTTGCCAGAGTCCTGCTTACTTAAATCAACCTTCTCCTAGAGCCCATATACTTTACTGTGAGTCCTAATTGAGAGCACGATAAAGTATTTGGGCTTTTTTATCAGATAGACTTACGTAGGCTAGACTTGAAATACTTAAAGAGACCTGATGCACACTTATAACATAATCGGGAAGTATAGGTAGTACGCTGAAGTATGGCATTTTCGCTTTTTTCCCCCCTTGATCCACCGTACTACAAAAGTTAAAGCTCTAATACACAGCTACTTGCAGCCATATAAGAAATACGAAACGCACTTCTATCATAAATCTGTATTGACACTTTGTTTCTTCCTTATTTTTAGTTTTGAAATGGTTCGATTGGTTTACAATGTCCGAAGAAAAACTCAAGCTTCTGGAAAACCTTGTAAATAAAAAAATCAATGATTTAATTACAGTTTTCAAAGTAGAAAATAGTAGTTTATATATGTATTATGTACCAAAACAACTATTCAGTACTCCTGACATTGAAACATTGATATATTTTATGCAAAATGATATTTTACAAGAAATAATACCATTACCACTTCCGCATGAACGATCTATACAACTTGAAAGTGAATTAAAGAAAATAATATCAGAACAAATGACAAATGATGAAATTCTAATTATAAACAGATGCCTTTTTCAAACAACCAAACAAAAGCAAATTGTTCTTTTTGGTTATAATAGAAAAGTTATTGACATAAAGAAACAAATTTCAAATATTATCGAAACAAATATTCTAATTACATACACATTAAATTCAATAAGTGCATATGAAGTAAGTAATATTTGATTTTATATCTATCAATTATTATTTATTTGAATTTTTTCAAGATGCAATCTATTATGGAAACTCATTCAAATGAATTGACAAATATTGAAAGAAAATATGCAAAACTTGGTGTTTGTTTACGATTAAGATTAAATGAATTTTCAGCTCCTCGACATTTAAAAGATGAAATTGAATCTTCTATTCAAAAACTTTTATTTCAATCAACATCAAAAACAACAACAATGCTTGAAAGTATTCCACTATTTACGCCTATTGCTGAGAAAGATGAACAATATTTAAAATCTATTGCACAGCATAATCGTTGTTATCTTAAAACTGAATTAAAACATAATTATCAATCGTATCCTGTACCAAAAGCAACGATATCCAACAAACAAACATCAAAATCAATAATAGAACAGTCTGAACATTTTTGTTCTTCAACTGATGTTTTTAAAAAACTGATTATAGCCAATGGATCAATTGAACTTCGTACAGGAGATATAGCTTTACAAAAAGTTTGTGCTTATAATCATTTTGAAAAAAAAAATTTTGTATTGTTGATTGATTGATTTTTCAGGTTGATACAATCATCATTTCAACAATGTTCAATGGATTAAAAGATGGTGTCATTGAACGATTAGGTGAGATAGAATATGAAAAAACTTTTTCACAAATCGATGGTACAATGTATACTGAAACCAATGGAGGTAAATTATATTGTAAAAGAATTTTATTTTCTAATTGGTTACCTAATTCATTAATAAATAATGATAACGCTTTACGATTATCAATACAAACATTTGTTTCAAAATCTATTGAATATACAGTAAAAGAAAAAGATACACAATCGATTGCATTTGTTGTACCAGATTCATGTACAAATGAAAGTATTCTAGTTGAAGAAATGATTAATGAAGTCAAGCGACAATTGGAAGTAAACAAGTTACAATTGAAAATTTCATTCGTATGTTTACCTGAACAGCAAACTCTACATGAACAATTCTCTGATATTATTACTCGAACAAATCAAGATGATATTTCTTTATATCTCGAATGGCCTACTACAAGTAAGATGTCAAATATTATTCATTTTTTAGAAACGAATAGATCGTTTCCTTCGAATTATCGTTGAAAAACAAGTTTTATCTGCTAGATACTTTTCTCTTAATATATTTTTTAAAATAGAATGAAGTTAAAGAACACATATGAGTTTCAAATTTTAGCTTAAAATGGGCTCCGTTGAAAAACTTGTCTAAGTGATTTCGAAGTTCTACAAAAGAAGAAATATTTAAGATCTCGCCAAATTTTAAGATCTCGTTTAACGGATTGCCTTTGTTTGATCTATTCATTATAGTCATTCAAATAGCATTGATTGGGTCAACAATGGAACGTGTAACACGATGTAAACAACAACTAAACAAATATCTTTCACAATGTATTTCTACAGTAAAAATAATACATTCAAATGATATTTTTCAATCTTGGGATCAACAAACAATAAATTCATTTTATAAATATTGTAAAGATAGATGTGTATTACCAAAACTTGATGAAACTAAAACTGAAATAGAATTAATTGGTCCAGCTACTAGTATTTTAGAAGCTAAAAAGAAGTTTCATATCTTCTCTGAATTAATGAAAGAAAAACTATATTCGATATCAACTGTAGAACGTTCGAGTTCAGCTATTCATTACTCAACACGATCTAAAGATAAAATTAATATGAAAATGATTAAATTGTACAATATTGTTATTAATTATAGTCAAAATGATCTAAGAAAATGTAAACGTTTAATCAATCGATTAACTGAAGAAGGTTTTTCTGTCGGAACATATTCAGAGATAACTGAAGAGAAACACAATTTATATTCTCAAATGGATAAATCGGATTGTATTATATTGTGTATCAGTGAAAATTATTATCGAAATTTACAATGCATAGACGCAGCTAAGTATGCGTTTCAAACAGATAAAAAAGTTTTTCTAGTAAAAATTCAAAATAATCCTTTACTTGGTTGGGATAATAATCTATTTGAAGGAAAATTATTTTTTCATTCATTTGGTTCAGATAATTACTTTGATCTAGAATATGGACGATTATTAGTTGAGTTAGTAAGATAATCATAAATTAAATTTGATTTTTATTATTAACAGATGATTTATTATAGTTACGATATACAAAACCTGGTTTTCTTTCTCTTTTACAAAGAAGATCCAGTTGCATACAACAAGATATTGATGAATTTCGAAGAAGGCAAATAGGAGAACAACAATCATTGATTGAAAATCAAACAGTTCGAACATCATCAACATCAAAACTTCTTGAAATTATGAAATCACAAAACAGAATCATTGATACTACTAGAGAAGAAAGACACTCAAATATTCATTTGAAAACTACTGTTTATAAACGTAAGTTTATTTCATAAAAGTCAAACAATTATACTAGATTTATGTAGCATAAGTTGATTCTTTCAAATTTTCTCAAGAATTTCGTGACTAACTTGTTCCTAGTTAGTGGGCTAATAAGTTTAATTTTCCTATCATTTTTTAAAAGATAGAGAGACTAGCAGACTTTTTT